ATATATATGAAAAATAAATCTCTTTTTCAGGTGTGCAGGACTTCCTCACCAAGTGCAGCCTGAAATCAGTAATGACCAAAGTGTCGCCATACATTAGACTGGAAAGCAAAACACTCGTCTTCACTTTCAGGACTTGGACAAAAACATTTTGCAGGTACTAACAGTGGTATTGACAGACCTCCTGGAGGGGAATAGTCTAACTAGCAAAGGCAAGTGAACACTTCTGTGATTTCCAGAACCTCTGCTCATTGATAATACTCTAACTTTTTCAGGGTAAGAAATGAGGAAATGCTAACATAGACTGCAAAACCATAGCTGCTAAACTGACATCAAATACTATAAACTACCACTGCAAACTTCACATACACGTTCAACCCACCATTATATGAACAAATATGACCCAGTGCACAGAATTCCAACTGACTTGCAACGAAGTCAGTCATATTTATCAGGATAGGGTGTTTTGTTTGTTTGCTGGGGGGTTTTTTTCCTATCCTTTCCATCCCACGTTCAACAGACATAAGGATGTAGCAAAAGTCCCGGGAGCCCCACAAGAAGGTGCAGTAAGGAAGAGGCTGGACTAGATGTCACATGGAACAAATGCAATTCTCTAAAGTCAAGTTCCATTGTAAAGAAACAGGGAGCCCGTGTATCAGGAAACTGGATTCCATCTCTACTATACTTCCTAAATGTTAATATAATTCACTTGTAACATGCAAGGGAGTTTTAAGAGGTAGAGCCTTTCAGAAAACTTCCTGCTCAACATGTGCAAGGGAGACTACAGAGCATCCTTCAAGTCTCTCTTAAAACAATTTCCCATCTACTCCTATGCATGGTTTGCCCTAGATTTCTAACTATGTCACCACATTATGTTACTTAGACATTTTTATGTTACAGGACTTCATTCATACAATTTGCAAGATTCTTTGGAAGACAGACTGTATAACAAAACAAACATGTTTTGTAGAACAACACAAAAAATGAGAGCTTTTCTAATTGTTCAGACAATGCCTCGTCTACATAAATACAGAACACATTCCCAGCAGCAATTGTTTTGACTGTGGTTTCCACCTTCAGCCTAAAAAGTGGCAACAAAAAACTCTTTGTAAAAATCTTGTAATAGCTACCTATGTATGAAGCTGATTTGCCTTGACTGCTCAGTGGCACAAGGAATTAAAGCTACGAAGTGAGTAGCATCGAGAAAGGAAATAGTGACACAGTGTGGACAGCTGAAGTAAAACATGACAGTACAGCTGTGCTAGGAAGCATTGCCCAGTCGCACACGATACATGCTTTCTCTAACAGGTTTTGGGAGAATTCATGCCAGAAATGACTAGAATTCTATCAGCACAACTGAAAACACCCAACTGTTTTTAACGCCAGTGTATACTTTTGAATACAGGTCTTACCAAGAACTAGGAATAAAACAATTCCATTCAGTTCAGTGACTCAGTACAGACCAGAAGAGGATTTAAGAAGGGAGCATTTATATTCAACAGAAGTTACCTGAGCGAATTCAGAGTAATATTAGTGTATATATCATATAATTAGATATTGCATTTCCTAGCTGGAATTAAACCACCAGTAGTGAAGGGGCTGGATTTTAGCATCTCTCTGGTCTCAGTATGTACAGAAACATCAGGCTGTGTCCTTACATAGCCTGCAGTGCTACACCTACTCAACCAACACTTGCTGCCCCTGAAGAAGTAATGTCACATATCCCTAGTCTTCTGAAAGCATGATTCAACCCTCTGAGCATTCACCAAATGCTTCCATTTGCCTATCTGACTTGCTAACTCAGTGGAAAAGATACAGAGTTTTTCTTCTTCTGCAAAGTAGTTCTGTCATTTCAGCAAACAAAATTAAGCTTGCAAAGATATTGACCAAGTCCCAGGGCTGGTACAGGCAGTCATAATGAGCCCTGGGCAAGGATCAAGGATACATGAAATACAAAAATCAGTCTGAATGTCTTTTAATCACAAAGGGAAAAAACGAGACCTTGGTTTCCAGATCTCAGGGTAAGTTCTGCTGGGATGCTGTATGGTGAGGTTACTTTTAATTTCCAGATGAAAATCTGGATGTCACTATCCCCCAATTTTAATTCCTGGCAGCTTTCTCTCACAGAGCAGTCTCACTGGAAGCTCAGACTTCTCCCTTCTGTGTTCCTCCAGATCTTCAGTATTATATAAGCAAGATTTTCAAACTATTCTCCTCTAATTTTATGCTGTTTCCAAATCATGCTGGTTTGCATTTTATAAGTGCAGGTATGTTTTATGACTCTATGGCAAACACACAAATGCTGTTCAAGAAAATCTATGAAGTGATGAATGCTCACTAAAAAACCTGGCAAAAAATAAACTACAAAGAGCAGCTTACTGCTGAGGAACTGAGTTGAGTCATGTTATTTCTTCTATTTCCCTCATTGTAATCCATCTGGATTTAAATTTATGGCAAAAAAAAGGTCAGTTTCTACTACTATAAATCCAACACCTTACAATATATCCCTGTTAACAGGCCAACACTGCATATCCTCCAAGCTAGTAAAAGAAAAAAATAAACCTTACCTGGAACCCATTTAACCTCCATTCCTATATCCTTTTCTTCCTGTTTTTTCTCTTTTTCTTGGATACTTTGCAAAAGTTGTCTGTACTTGGCAATTTGCTCTTCATCATCTTTTTGGCTTTTCCTGGGTTTGTCATCTTCCATTTCATGAGCTACGTCACCATCTAGAAATTGAGAGTTAAGCTATCACAGCCAGTCTCATGAAAGGGATCAACTGAAGTTAATGTTTAGGGAACACAACTAAGGCACATACACAGTGGCATGCTGCTTTGAAGACCAAGAAGAAAAATAAGCCATTTTGTTGTTTTATCTTCCTAGAGCCATGTGAAATTAAAAGTAAAGCTATAGGGGATGGGAAATGAAATAATCCTTAGTCAAATGCTCTCTTGAAAATGGTTAAGTAAGGGGCTACCAATTTGCATTTATCACTGGTTTTGCTAGTTTTGATGGGAGAAATTTAAGTGATGATGTATATTGTCGTACTTTCCCATTTAGATAAAACATGCATTTCTTAGTTTTAAAACAAACGTTCAACATCACCTTCAAATAAACCCTTAAGAGCCTTTTCATTCTGTAAGCAAATAAAGAACACTTGAGAACAGCTGTAAGAAAGGAAAGTGAGCTGAATACATTGTCAAAGGTTGTTCAGAGTTCAAATAACCTTGTCACTAGCTTTCAACCATCACGCTGCATTGTACAACACAAGGAACCACTTTCTGATGGATATTAAGGCAGCAATGCTTCCTGCCAGTAGCTTCTTCAAAGACTTTTTCTACAAAACACACAAAAAGCCCAGAAAGCCAACCCTATCCTGGGCTGCATCAAAAGGAGCATGACCAGCCCATCAGAGGAGGCGATCCTGCCCCTCTACTCTGCTCTTGTGAGACCTCACTTGGAGTATCGTGTCCAGGTCTGGGGTCCTCAACATAAAAAGGACATGGAGCTGTTGGAGCAAGTCCAGAGGAGGCCACGAGGATGATAAGAGGACTGGAGCACCTCCCCTATGAAGACAGGCTGAGAAAGTGGGGGCTGTTCAGCCTGGAGAAGAGAAGCCGCGTGGAGACCTCAGAGCAGCTTCCAGTGTCTGAAGGGGGCTACGAGGATGCCGGAGAGGGACTCTTCATCAGGGACTGCAGTGACAGGACAAGGGGTGATGGGTTCAAACTTCGGGGTAGGTAATCTAAATAAGCTTATTCAAAGCATATCACAGAAGACATCTTTTTGCAAGATATTTTTCAGGGAGGCAGGGCTCTACACAGAGTTCCCTACAAGCCTGACAGTGTTCAACAAGTGCCTGAACAACCCTTAGATATATGGTTTAACTTTTAGGTTTCCACGTGCAGAGTCAGAACTTGGACTCTATGATCCTTATGGGTCCTTCCAACTTAGGATATTCTACGAATATACCATCAGGAACAACTAATTACAAATACACTGATAGAAGTATTTTGTCATATGGTCTATGCAGGTATTCTGTCTGGTGTGCAAAACAGAACAGCAGGAAAGATGGTGCTCTGCAAAGATTAAAATAACCCAAACAAAATGAGAACAAAATCTTAGGCATAAACCCTAGAATGCTTAATTTGAAGCATCATTTAAAATGCCATACACTAAGTCACTGGTGCTTATGGTCAAAATAGTATTTATGGACTTGATGCACACCACGAATGCTTCCTAACTTGAACAAATAGTAACAGAAAATCCAGATGCAATAATAAAGGATACTTTGTGCCAGGAACCACAACACACCAGATCACTGAAATACTTGACATTACAGAACAGCAGCTCTATAATGGTAACACTAACATGCATGCTGTGCATATTTTAAGTTAAAAAATTCCATTAAAAAAGATTAGAATGGGCCAGCAAAAACCTGTTTATAAATAAAACATTTTAATAAATTAAAAAAATTGTGAATAAAAGTCCAGGACATTTTTTTGCATCTTATCACACTCCTACATTTCCATTCAAGCAGCTGACACTGATTTTTCCCATTTGTGCCACGTAATTCTGCTGGATGGAACGCTGTCAGATGGAATCCTGGTTTGTATCACATAACTGAAGGGATAAAAAGGTCAGGAACGCGTTCAAGACATGAACATAATGAGGACATTAGAGGAACATAATTCCTCTATGAATAACTTACTTTTCAGAACCAGTAGAATCTAGACATGTCCAGGTTTAAGATTTATTAGTGTGGTAAGATTACTTAAGGTCAGTTTCTTTTCCTTCCCAGCAATGTGAGTTTACTTCTTAAGATTTCTCAAGTGTTGCTCACTTCGAGACATTTGCTTTCATCGCCACCCTACTACAGATGCTATTCTTTAACTTGGTGGTAGCCTTGTACATAATAGAAGTTGGAAATACTTTCCTCTGGATCTACTGCTCCCATTTAAATACTTCACTAAGCATTACTAGAGAAACTAAAGCTCGTGGAGCAGTTGATAAGTGTGTATTTATGTAAGATAAGAAGCAAACGGACATTAACCTTGCCAAGATATTGCCAAACTGAGTTTGCTGCCAGAAGATTTCCCAACTTTATAACCAGAAAAATCTGCAATGTTCTTTGCATGCTCCAAACTCACCTTTGACTGCAGCTAGCTGCTTTACTGCAGTATAAATCAATTTTAACATCTGTTTGAAAGACCTGATTAAAGCTCAGTGAAATTTTCTTTAGCTTGTAATTTTGGTTATACATATCATTAATTAAGAGCAGACTGAATTTTAGAGTAAAAACGAGCAAGGTAATTCAGGGATTTACATGTTGGTGCACCATACAGAGAAGATTTACGCACCTAATCAAGTTAGGTGACATTCTCTTTATATTCTTAAGTACGTGAGTCAAAAGCATTTGAAAGATGTCACTACTACACTCTAAAGTTCCCTTAAATATCTTCTGCTGCTTACATCTCCCCTTCCTATTTAAGACCTGTATCTTAGGAATACCAAAAGGCCTGTAGCACAGCTTTTCTCCACTGCCATTCACATTCCCCTGGTTACCCAAGAAGAGATACTGCTGGAGTCGAGAAGCTCTGTACATTTACAGCTCCCTCAGGACCTTCTAAAGTTCTGAAGCACATTCAACACCCTGTCTAGGCTGTTCCAACAAGCACAGTCTTTGGGCAGCTTGTGCAGTATCTCGTTGCTCTGCAGTATCTCCTTGCCCTGCAGAGACTTTAATATGTATAGGGGACCATGAAGAGGACAAAACAGTATATTAATCTATAAATAGATTTCTGTAGTGAGCATTGTACCTAATTCATTTAGTCATTAACCACTCCACATTTCAAACCAGGACTTGTCCTTTGAAAAGGAAGCTCCTCCAGTTCTACTGAAAATAATTTTTTCATTAATAATGAAGAGATTAAAGTAGATATTGCTGAATTTGACAAAGAAATTATAAGGCAGCCTGAAGAAAAGAAAGAGGGGTAGAAGGTGAAAAAAAAAGGGGGAAGAAAATGATTTTACACTCAGAGGTGCAAGCTCCTATTCAGAAAGCAGCTATTCAGGGGATCAAGCATTAGGATTAACTGCTAATCCCTACCATTTGGCAATTTTTGACAAGTGTTACTCAGACTTCAATGAAAGGCAGCAGGTCTTCATTCAGCACTGAATGAAAAGTATAGCTACTACATTCTCTACATAATTCATCCAAATGTATGATGAAAAGCAGCTTTTCTTTAACAGATCTATCATGTCAGCAATAAAGAAAATACGCCATAATTGATGCTACTTGAATCACTCCAATTATAATCATTAAGATTGGTTTAATCACACATTCACTGCATCAGGTAAAGAGATTTTGCAGTACAAAAAAAATGAAAGCCAGAGAGCTTTTCCAAAGCTAAGGTTATAATACTGAAGCGAAACTCTCATTAACAAATCTAGTAAACTTGCAGTAAGTAACTCCATACTCAACTAACATACTTAGTCTTTGAAAAGAATGTAGTAACTTTGGGGTCATACTAGTGATTATTACTTATAATGAATCTCAACTGCGGCTTTAAAGATACCATTTTAAAACCTTGTATGTGTGTTTTCTTACCATGTATAAAGAACACTGGAAAAGTGTATTTAACTCGAACATTCAAAAAAGGAAATGAAAAGGAATGTCAGGTTCCACTAAATTTAAAGAACTCTACAGCTTTCACATTAACATGTCTAACTCACAAGTATTGTCAAAAATGTTCAGCATCTGTCAATCTGTTGATGTTCTGTCATCAATTCATTCATTTCCTAATTGAAAAAGGGGGTGGGAAACCACCAATGTGCTCACTAGCAATTTACCTCCACCTTTAAGTCACACACAGAGAAAGGAAGTCTATGGCAGTTTCAGAGATGTTTAGCTCTGGAAGAAAGGTAGGTTGTTTTCGTAGCAGAACCTGACCACAGCTTTTATACAATGAGCATAATATTGTCCCTATGAAAGTCAACAACATTCAAAGCCTTTTCTAAAGATAGGAAATTAGATATTTACAGAACTCGTGTTCCAAACACTGCAGCTAATGATTTGTGGACAACATTTATCAAAGTAAGTACCTTGCTGCTCTTCCTCCTCCTCTTCACTAGATGAGGCCAAATAAGCTTGAAAATCCATGTCAAGAAGTTCCTCTTTGTTAAAAGTTCTGCTAAGTGACGTTACTCGTTCATGATCTGTCTCATCCCATGTGATATCTACCTTGAAAATAAAAATGCCACTTGTAGAGGCTGAAACACTAAAACATTGTAACTCTGTCTTTTTAGGGAAAATTATCTGATGCTTTCCATTTAAGAAGCAATGCAAACCTGTTACTGATGTTCTTTAAAACAATGTACTAAATAACAACAATGTACTAAAATAAATTTGATTACACCTTTTTAGAATTTGTGCTACCATTGAGTTTCAAGGAGTTTTAACTACATAAAAGAATGAAGTCTCCGCATGCACTGAAGGGTTCTGTAACAACAGGTCACAAAACACACAGTGTTTGTAAGCCAAACCTCCTCTGTGGCAGCAGATACTGGTGTTGATGCAGCATCAACTCTTTTCCTCTGCCAGCAGCAACTCATTCCTGGAATTACGCACGGATTGCAGTGGGGACAACAAAAGCGTTTGCGCAACTGCACCCTCAACCAGGAGGTCAAACAGATCTGGCTGAAAAGTGATCCAGCAGAAACTACTTATTTCTCAACTAATCACGTCTCCAATCCGGTTCACTTCATGGCCACATGGAAGTTTTGGCTGTCACATAAGAGAGCCGGAATGAATAGCAACAAAGAGGGGAGGCAACTGTTTAAGCCTGCCACTACCACCAAAAAGGCTCTTGTTGCCACAAATAGCAAATTAGAAGATTTAACTGTGAATAACAAAGTAATTCCATGTGCAACTTGTAACAGAGGTATAATGAGGTCAAAGTACAGTATTTAATTTGTAACAAAGAAGCTGAATCTCTTTTAAAATCCAAAACTCGAGCTTATTTATGGAGTTGCAACTTGAGGCTCTGTAACACGCTTACATCTTTTCATGTTTGATGTCCTTATTTTGAAATTGTGAAGATAATCAGGAATCTTTTCCCCATGACTTATTTATAAGCTGACAATAAAACTAAACAAATTAGAACAACATTACAAAACCATTGTAAAGATACCTTTGATGTTCCCATAGCAGCAGATGTGAAGTACTTTGGTTTATACATAGCTACGTTCACTTCTGAGGCTTCATCTTTTGGCTTATCATCAAATGTAACGTTATCCGGAATAAATCTTAAAGGCAAATAAAACATGTTATTATTCAAATACACTGAGAAATGTCATAGTACAAACAGTCTAAGCTTTTCATGAGTATGGTACATCAGCACAAAAGAATTTGCTAACAGGAAAAGCCGGTAAAGCCTGAAAAAGAAACATAAGAAACGGACAAATACTCCACACATGTAAGATTAACTGGTTGGCTTCTGCACAGCTATTCCACAGGTTTTCGATGTGTAACACCACCATGTTGGAGAAGTAAACTAAACAACATTCAGCATGGTATTAGCAGGGTCAGGGGTGGGTTCTGGGGTGGTTTTGTTTAAGAACCACCTTTTCAGGAAGCTTAATATTAAAAATTCCAAATTAAAAAAATGAAGAAAATAGGATTTGGAAACAGATAAATTAAAAAGATATCAAAACATTTTAGGAACTGGTATATCTTTAACATTACAATTAGCAGGAAAAAAAACAGGTTAAAAAGACCCAAATCTTTTTTTACACGTGATGGGTAACAACAGAAGTAACACCAATCCTTTGTACACTACATGACAAAGTACTTGGGCCCTTGTATTTTTTACATCATTGCAAATGTGATGAATGCTACTCAACATTAAAATGTAACAACGTACAAGATAAGATTTCTCCAACGCTTTTCCTAAACAGCCATGTCTGTTGGAAACCATTCTCTCTGTTTAGAAGCTTGAAAAGTTACATGCTTAAGGCCAGACTGGACAGAGCCTTGGGCGACATAGTTTAGTGTGTGGTGTCCCTGCTCATGGCAGGGGAGTTGGAACTAGATGATCTTAAGGTCCTTTCCAACCCTAACTGTTCTATGATTCTATGAAATTAATTAAGTTCCTCTAGAAAGTTACTGGAAGAAAAAAACCTTATCTCAGACTTCCAAACATGCCCGTAACACAGGCTCCAGCAGACAAAGCCAGCTTCTGTGAAAACTTACTATGATTTAGTAACCTCCCTTCTGCTCAGACTAGAAGTCTTTATTGTGCAAAAGGAAATACTAACAACAAAGCACAAACATAAATTAAAATTCTTTCCTTCCCAAACGTGACTTTTGAAATACTAGAGCTTCCAGCTCATTCACAGGGGCTAGCATGTTAATCTATTGCAGCTTCATGACAACAGCAGCAATATTTTGCTCTGTGGTGAGCAACCCTGAAAAAAAACACTTCTGGACCCTTGGGGAAAGAAAACGAGTGTAGGGGGAAACCCAACCAGAACCAGTATATGTTGCTTTGTTTCCTAAATTCTACCACTTTACTTAATTGTACCAAAAGGTGGAAGATGCAACCGGAACATTTTACCTGACTTCTCTGAGAATAATCTCTCTATGCAGAGATCCTCTCAAACTTTCTGTATTCCAGTAAAAATGCTCAGGAAGAAGTTAAAAAAAAAACCCAAACGAATCAAAGACAAACTTAACAACTAACTGGATGCCCAATTGATTTACATATCATTTTGGTTACAGAGTAAAGACAACATCATTTACTCAGAATTATTTTAAATTGGCTTTAATTCTCCCAACCCAACATGTAAGAAGTCGTTGCTGGAGTTACCTCAGATCTATAAAAGAACAGCTACTTTCAAACTCCAGTCCATCACATTCCTCATAAATTTTATTGGCTGTTTCAGGAGAATCACATTCTACCACTGCATAGAAGTATTTCAGTCGCTTAAATTGATATTCCCGCAGTTTTTCCCTGTAAAGCCTGTAAAAGCAGAAAATACCACAATCAATCAAGCTGGCTTTAGCTTTTCATTTGGAAAATATTTTAATTCAACTCATTAAAAATACGCACCGTTCAAACACTCTCCTAATCTTATAATAAGACTAGATGTTAAACAGCATGAAGTTTCACCAGTATCTAATCAGTTTACTCTTGAGTTCACTAAAGCAAAAAGACTAATTCACTCAGTGTTATTAAACGTACACTTTGTGTATCTGACTCTGCTCCCCACAGGTTAGGGTCCCTGTGCAGGGCATAGAGTAGCACCTCCATAAGCATTTAAGGTAATGTTTAATAGTTCCTATCAAGTTGTTTGCAATTATCTTGTCTCTTAACAAGGCTGATAAAAAGGGTGTTCATATGTAAGTAAGGGTATACATTTAGAACAATAAGAGAAGCTGAGAATCTATATGGACAGGGCTGCAGATCCTCATGCTACAGAGAGGCAGTGCAGGAGTAGTAAGTAAGAAAGCAGTATGGGTAAGGAAAGGAGTTGGGATGCTAACTTGGGTAGCACAGGTGTTGGTGTCACACAAGATGACAGCAAGAGTTAAGCAAAGCAGAAAAGGGACTGAGGAGTGGATGAAGGACTGAGGAAGGATGGCAGGAGGATGATCGCAGGCCTGAGATCCTGTCCTGTGAATTTGAATGATACATGCACAGGTATCTCTGTATTTCTGTTTGTTGTATTCCAGATGCTTTAGAGCCAACTGAGCAGTAAACCTAACACTTCAGGATGCACCGTGATGCACACAGTGAAGCTGACTTCAGAATTCACTGCAAGTTCATCATACATCTCCCTGATGCATTAGAGGCTTTCTTCAAGAGGGATCTGCACTTATTTTAGAAGCATCCAGATTTTACAAATATAGGGCAGTCCACAGGGTGTATTATACAAAATTTCCAAACATCTGGAAAATCTGGGAAAAAAATATAAAAGCAAAACCTCTCAAGTTCCATACAGGCAAGACCTTCAAGCAGAATAAAAGGAAAAACAAGAAGACATGCCTGAAGAAGCCTGGACAATGGTAGGCCTGACGAGCGTAGCCTAGTAAGCCAGAGCTGCTGCTGGGGGCATTCAAGAAATCTCAATCTGGGAATTCTTGGCCTAAACTAAGATCCTTGTAGATTACACAGATAAAATTTCTGACAGTAAGCAAAGGGAGCTCACTGCATGAGTGGCAATTTGTAGAGGAGAAATACTACATTAAGTTCTACACGCATTTGTGCCATTTATTACTCCAATGGGCTACATAATCAAAATGTTGACCTCGCTTATCAACAAGCAAATCTTCTCAAGTCTGATCATAATGCATTTATTTAATGCACTGATAATGAGCCAGGACCAGTTATAAAACACCCCTTGAAAAAAGTTATAAAATTAAGGTGTCCACAGGAGATGTCCATGTACAAACTTTTGGAAACTGAATTTCATTGGGATTTTCATTGAGAATTACACACATTGTATCTCTCAATTGAAGATAAAGTTAATACCCATCATTCTCTGTGGTATTCTCTGGAAGATCAAACAGTTCCACAGGTCCTTTTTGCTCTTCCTCTTTCAATCTCTCTTTTCCAAACTCCGAAGGATAAATCTACAAATACGACAACACAAAAGTAAAGTTTTAACTGTAGCAGCATAATGTACACTAAGAAAAAATATCTCACCAAGCCTTTTACACGTCGTGTTTTTAATCTATAATCAGTAAAGGGTTCAGTTCCATAAACTTCAATACCATCTTAGCTTTAAATTATGAAAAAGACACCAGAATAAACAAACTGCCTATTAGGAATGTGAGTATTTTGGGACAGATGAAGAACAGGAGCCCTAATGTCATTCATTTCACTGTGGCCCTTTTTAGAAAGGGGTGTTTGACTAACATTTCTCAGAAAGGTGGAGGCAGACACTAAAAATGGAAAAATACAACCTAACTGATCCGAATTCAAGCAATTTATTAGTAACTCAAAAGTGGTGAGAAACAAGAAGTGCAATGATAAAAGGGGCTCGGAAGCATTTAGAAATATCCAGATTTAAGGCTGGGTTATCTACCATAAAGACTGCTAAAAATTAAACTAGCCAAGGAAATGTAGTCTCCTCCTACCAGACTTTCACTGTTAGCCTCAAAGGCAACCTCAGAAATAGGAGAGGTTAACAGCTTCGGGCTCTAGCTCTACCAAATACATGCCTGTTACTAAAAAGCAGCACTTTTATTACACAGCAAGTTAAATTTCAACATAATTTCTGATTTATCATGTTAATATCTCATTTGGTTCTTCACAGAACTGTCTTACTTTGTTCTTATTTTGTTGTCTTTTTCTTTTTTAAAACAGTAAAAGCCAGTACTCCTTTTAGAAATCAGGTCTTACCTTAACAGAAAATACTGTTCCTCCTTTGGGCGTGAAAGAATTAAATAGAGCCAGCAAATCCTTAGCCTTCAACCTATCCCAATCCATATTACAAACTGCCAATCGACTTGTAATCTGAACAGAGAGGGGAAAAAAAAGGACATAAAGTTCATAGGTTTAATTCCTGACTGCTGTGGGGAATACATAATTCTCTAGCAGCTATCCTTGGTAAAAATCAAAGTCAGCAATAAATTTTGCTGAAAAAGGAAAAGAAACTTTTTCCTCAAGACTTTGTATCACTTAAGCAAAAACTAGAAGCAGCAATCACCAGAGCAAACAAAAAGCACATAAATAGCAAAGCACTGAAGAATGGACTGCACCAATCACAGATTTAGGAGTGCAGATACAACATCAGCACTTAGAACTTAGTTGTTATCATATGGTTAGTCACAACAGCAACTAGGATCACAGTATCATAACAGCACTAGAGCATTGTGATTTCTTGTGCACTGATTGTGCTCAGTTTTAAAGTCCTACTTCGCTGTCTAATGAACCCTTAACTTCTTAAAGCACGAGTTTAAAAATCAAATATGAAAAAGAAAAGTTAAAAAAATCATATTGAACAAAAATCAGTACTATTTAAACCCTGGGATTTCCAAAAAGCTCAATTCTGTTTGTTCTTTCACCTACAGATAGCCTTTGCTTAGAGGTGAGGGGCGACACCAATGAAATTTGCAAGTCCCATTCTCAGCCAATTTCACCATTACTTGCATTCTATAACTGAAAGGCTAAAAAATCTTTATGAAAAACACTTTCATGGTTTCCTAGGTGAAGGTCGAAATGCAGCGTACATTTCTGATGTTTGTAACTCCTAACAGCATACATTTCTGAGCTTGTCACGTAGCAACTTGTCATGTGCAAAGTATTGTTACCTCATCTCCACGAAGGGCATCTTTATCTAGCTCACGCCACGAATGTTCTATCTCTGGCTCCTTTGGAAAGAGGTCATTTAAATCCTCATCATCCTCCGAGCTCGTTTCAATGTTCCCTATGCCTCTAGCTAGATCAGGCCCACTATCACTTTCTTCATCATCTTCTGAATGACTATCTTCTTCCCCTGTCTCCCCATCATCTTCTGGCTCCTCTTCCTCGCCTGTTTCTCCATCATCTTCTGGCTCGTCCTCTTCCCCTGTTTCCTCATCATCTTCTGGCTCCTCTTCTTCTGATTCTGCACACTCAAAACCATCACTTGCAGAAATATCTTCCTCTAACTGTCTTTTACTAATGTCACTTTGATTGCAGGTGTCTGTGTATGCAGTCACTGAAAGAAAACGAGACATCTATTTTTACGTTGGAATTACATACAATCCTTTACAAGGAGGAAAAAAAATAACCTCTTTTTTTTTTTTTACCACAAAGATTTACAAAACCCCTGAAATGTGTAAAGATGCAGCAACAAATTACATCAGGGAAGTGCCAACAACATAAACAATCAGTATCACCTCTTCAGCTTGTCTGATCTAATGACTCTTTAGGCCCACAATTGTATTATCCATCACAAACTCTAATGAAATACTATTTTGTTATTCTATTTAAATGTATAGAATCAACAGGCAGAAATTTTATTTCAATAACACAGGCTATATGAATGCACAAGTAATAAGAAGGAAGTTTTTCTTTAAGTTACCTGTTCTTGCTAATATCTTTTTATATTAATGGCTTGATGTTGCTATCGCTATGCCTTCAGACATCAAGCCTCGATATGCTTAAGCCTTCATTGTATCTGATCTTATATTTGCTATTCAGTTTGATAAATACAGCAATCTATATGCTACTATACATTTTGCTTTTCTAACTAACCAACAATTTCAGCTCCAGCAATTAAAAGGACATGGATGTTCACAACCTTACTGAAGAGTCAGCACCGACAAAGAGCTAACCAACTCTAATTCTCCAGAACCACTGAATCTGAGTCAGCCAGCTATTTTATGACTGATCTTGCAGAAGTTCTTCCATGGATAAAACAAAGGCAACAACACTCAAGTAAACATAGATTAATTCTACTTGTCATTTGAACAACTAACCTGATCCTTGTCTTTTTCCTCCTACAGAATGGTCCTTCTGGAGAGCTTTAACTGATTTAGTACCACTAGACTGTGAAGAATTTTGCTTGTTTTGAATTGAAATTGATCTTCCTCCTGATGCATTTCCCTGCTTATTTTCCCCTTTGTGTGAAAGGCCCTTGTTTCCCTGAGAAAGCTCAATTTCTGTTGCAGTTTTCTCAGAGTCTTCTTTCAAGTTTAATTTAGATGCCTTTTTTTGTCTTTCACTTTTAAGATTATTTAGCTTTGTCTCTGCTTCACATTCTTGGTCCACCCCTTGTTTGCCTATTTGACCATCAGCAAGTAGCTCTGCAGAATCTGCTTCTCCTTGACGTTTAGGTTTTTTTTTCTTTATTTTCTTTTTAGCACATTCTTTACCATCACTTTCTGAAAGATCAGAGTCAGATTCTGACAGGGCATAAAATTTCCTCAGGTTCTCTGTGGAAGTATAGTTAACAGGACGACCTCTTTTATCCACAGTATACTTCAGCTTAAACTTCTTATCATGAAACATCGCTCGGAATCGCCTGTCAATCTTGATTTTACGCTCTTTGTCAGGCATCTCCCAAAACCTGGGATCCCTGGTAACACAGCTGAAGCGCCCATCGCTCAGTATTTCCTGCTGGGATGACATTTTTGATGCTGTTGAAGACTTGGACATCTACAGTATGGAAAAAAAAACAACGAACAGAAACAGTTAAAAAAACCCTTGTTTAACATAAATTTAGATACACAATGAAAAAAAAAATGAACTAAGCAAACTTAGATTTCTAACCTATGCCTAAAAAGCTCTTTACATAAAACCATACGGAAATTTACATGAGTCACAAATAATCCTGTAACTACCACAGTCTTGGCCACAAACAAATCTTAGCTTCCTCAGATAATGGATATGCAACAAGAAAGACCACACTTGCTCCAGATAGAGCCTGAAGTGATTCCCTACTAATCCCGAACTGGACCTCACACAGCTTCACTGTAAGCCAGACCTCTGCCTTTTACTTCCCACAGGACTAGGGTAGATAGAATCATAGAACCAGCTAGGTTTGAAGACCTTTAAGATCATCAGGTCTTTACCCCAGCACTACCACTAAACCATGTCACTGAGGGCCTCATCCACATGGTTTTTGAACACTTCCATGGACAGTGACTCCACCACTGCCCTGGACAGCCTGTTCCAGTGCCTGACTACTCTCTCTGTGAAGACATTTTTTCTAATATCCAATCTAAACCTCGTGCAGCTTGAGCCCATTGCCTCTTGTTCTATTGCTTGTTACTTGGGAGAAGAGACTGACCCCCACCTTGCTACAACCTCCTGTCAGGCAGTTGTAGAGAGCGATAAGGTCCCCCCTGAGCCTCCTCTTCTCCACACTAAACTCCCCAGGTCCCTCAGCCCTTCCTCATCACACTTGTGCTCCAGGCCCTGCACCAGCTCCATTGCCCTTCTCTGGCCCCGCTCCAGCACCTCAATGTCTCTCTTGCAGTGAGGGTCCCAGAGCTGAACACAGGATTTGAGGTGCAGCCTCACCAGTGCCCAGCACAGGGGGATGATCACTCCCCTGGCCCTGCTGCCACACTGGTGCTGATACAGGCCAGGATGGTGGTGGCCGCCTTGGCTGCCTGGGCACACTGCAGGCTCATGATCAGTTAAAGCGCCGATTACGAACGCCGCCAGGAGGAGGACAAGCGTTTCGGCGACCTTAACCCATAGCCACCAGCAGCCCCGGCGCAGGCAGGGGCTCGGCCC